TTAACCCTGTCCATGAGAAAGTGTGCACCCAAAAAAAAGGAATTTTAACTTATTTGAATATTCTCTTTCTATCCAAATCCAAATAAAAGTAAAATAATTTGTAGGTGGACATGTTAGGGGCCTACGATGGAAATTACAATATTACCCAAACAAAAATATGTATGAATTCTAAATTTAACACTATATTTATGTTTTGAATATGAATCTTAATATGATTTTATTTGGCTAAAATTATGTCCAAAATTGTAATTTGCCTAATCTTGGTTTGGGGTTCCTTAAAAAAATATTTAAATACTGGATATCATATTTCGAGTTCAAATAATTTGATTTGTTTTACCATCTTAACTTAAATAGATATGCCAAGAAAATGAATATTAAATTAAATAAGAAGCTATCAATATAAAAAATTATCAAGGCACCGTGGTGAATTTTTAAAATAAAATTTTCTTCCTTTTCGTAGGTGTAATATTCAGATCTACAGTATAATTTGCCTTATCAAAAAAATAACAAATAAGATTAAGGAACACAAATTATTTAAGGCAAATAGAAAAATAATGATGAATGATGGAAAACAATGTGAAGAGGTCATAACAAAAAGGTGCATAGTTAATAATTAAGCAATATAATAAATATTTGAAAAGAATATGGAGATATGCAATTATAAATTTGCTTGTCTATTGCTTTTCATTTCCACTCATGCATGATCAGAGCACGCATTTGGAAACTGTTACAATTATCAATTGTTGCTTATCCACAATTTTGTAACAGTCACTAACTACAAGTGTTGTAAATTACTTTACAGGTTGCTTTCCCTGCCTTGGAGAATTTGGTAATTGCTAAATTGCCTAACATAATAGAGATATGGGAGAAGCGATTACTCATAGCCTCAGAAAACGAATCAAAGTCCTGCCGACTGAAAGATTTGAACGTTTATAATTGTGAGAATTTGGTTCATGTGGTTCGGTTCAATATGCTCCCACAACTGCAAAATCTAGAAACATTCAGGGTAGACAACTGTCCAAAGATGGAAGCAATAGTCGCGGAGAAAGAAAAAGAAAAAGGAACCACCAGTAATGATATCATCCCGTTCCCTCAATTAACAACTCTTAATCTTTCGGAGTTGGCGAGCCTTAAAAGTTTCTACAACTGGCCAACAAGATTTGAAGCACAACCCATGTTCAACCACCAGGTTTGATTTTCCTAATTTATTTTATTAACCCTGTCCATGAGAAAGTGTGCACCCAAAAAAAATAAATTAAAATTCCTTTTCAATTACAATTTTAAATTTGAAACTTATTTGAATATTCTCTTTCTATCCAAATCCAAATAAAAGTAAAATAATTTGAAGGTGGACATGCTAGGGCTTGCGATGGAAATTACAATATTACCCAAACAAAAATATGTATGAATTCTAAATTTAACACTATATTTTTATGTTGAATATGAATCTTAATATGATTTTA